CGGTACTGTAATAAAATTACTATTTCACAACAGCATTAAAAGCTATTTTAATTCTCCAGCTTCTGCGTTATGTACTATTTTATATCCAAAGAATAAAAAATAAGATGAGGGCACACTGCCAAAAAACTCTCAAGTATTTTTAATGAGCAAGAATAAGCTTATTCCAGATGGCTGTTTAGAAAAAAAATTATTCAGTTCTTTGAATCTGTGCTAAACACTAGCCCCTGTCAATTCAGAAAATGTAAGCTCTTCGTTACAGCCAAAATTTCAACAAAGAACAGCACTTCTGTGAAACAGTCTCTGGAATGCTGTGCTACTTCAGCTTTAATTGATACATACAGATGAAAACAATCTTGCAGGATGCTTGCCTGAAAACTTAACTAATAGTATGCCAATTTTATCACTGGTCCCATTCATTTGATGTCAAAATGACACAGTTCTGACAAATTATTCTGTAGCATGAAGTTATATGGCACCACATCCTCAGCAATACTTTAAAAAATCAGCTCCTTAGGGCTCTGATGTCATCTTCCAGGCAGATATATTGACTAGGCAAAACAACAAACTATTCTTAATTTTCTGTACTTCAGTGTATACCCCCCCTAATCCTGCAGTTGAAAAATTGAGACAGCTAAATAGTATTCAGTGTAACACTGTACTTCACAAAGGTCTGAACAGATCAGACCTGGTTTGTCTACTGTTCTTCCATATTGTGCAAATATATTTATCTCTCTGGGGCACAGAATAGTGTATACTATAACACAGATCAAGTTTTTAAAAGGAAGAGTGTAATTTGAAGTGTCATGTCCAAATTGATAAAGCCAAAAACCCCACAGCTAAAACTAAGCAAAAATAAACAGAACAGAGTGAGTACTCAATTTCTTTCATGACTCTGTAAACTTAGGCAGCCAAACACAGGAACCTGATCCACTCTTCAGGCAAGCATATTAAAATGGACTAAAATAATTGCTGTATATGTACTCTACCTCCTAACCTGTCACCTGTCAAAGGGTACATATTAAAAGTAGGCTTCTCTCCAAAAGAGAGAACAAGTATCAGTGAGAAAAAGTTTTATACATACTCATTTTTGGAACTGTCATCATTAAGAACTACTTATTTTTACCTCCTTAGGGGTTGTAAAATGTCTGAAGTAAACTTGATTTCCCCTTCCTTCTCTTGCACAGACCACCTCCAAGCAAAAGGTTACCTTTCATACTACTTTCAAAAAGCACAGCTAACAGACAGACCTTGGGTTCATTATCTATACACAGTTGTGGTGGTTTGAAAAACCTTTTCTCTGAGGTGGTAATGGTTTGCCCCACTGATAATACTCTTACTGGACCAATCAATAGTCCACGTGTGCCCTGCGGAAATTACATGCCCACAGAAACAGAAGAGAAGGCAGTGAAGATAGTGTAGTAGGTAGGTAGCCATGATCTGAGCCACTAGGAGGCAGGGGGCCAGTGAGCCCCTCTGGGGACCAAGGGCCCCAAGCCCCAACTGAAGCCATGGGAGACCCGGTATAGTGTCACAGCTGGATCGGGTCCTGTAATCAAGAGCTGGAAAAGTTTCCTTACTGTCAGCAGCAGCAGAAGACACTGAAAGCGGCAGCAGAGCAGTCCTGAACAGAGACAAGGGTGGCTAAAAGCCAAAAGATAGCCAGTAGCAACGAGATAACGTGAAGCCAGCTGAAAGACACAGAGATGTTCCTGCAGGAGGGAGAGCTGGCAACAAAACAGAGGTGAACTCAACAGAGCTGTTTTGGGGTAAGACTGTATTATTTTCCCAAAACCAGAGACTCTCTAAAGAGGAGGGGTGGACTTCCAAACCCTTAGGGAGTCCTGAAATGCAGCAGCAGCTAGAGAGAGAGAGAAAGGAGCTGAAAAACCGGAGTTTGTCCTGAGAGCTGAGCCAGGACGGAATGCGGAGGAGGTGGCCGTGCCCTCTGCTGATGCTGCTGCTGCTTCTATCATGCTACTGAGCTGAGACAGAGCAAAAGAGCTTTGGTAAGACTGAACTGAAAGCTGCCTTCAATGTTCTAACCCAAGAGGAGTGAAGATCTACAAGGAAATCGCCTGAAGGCTCAGGCTCGGGGATGAAATTTCCACAAAGTCAGAACAAAAGTCCTGACTGCCATACGTAAATCTGCTGCCTCAGGAAAATGAAGGACACTAACCAGTGCCACAAAAAACTGAAATGAAGGAACTGTGGCCTGAGAGGTGATAGAAAGACTTTTTTCTTCTTGAACTTTTATTGAAGGAGAAACTTAATTTAATGTAAATATATATGTGGGTGTAAATAAACCTTTGTAAATATTTTCCCCTTCCCCCCAATAACGAATGGTTGTGTTTTGTCTGAAAACTCTCCACATGGGGTGAAAAAGATATCAAGTCCATACCATCACTAAACCCTCTCACAGGAGCAAACTGGGGGTGGGGGGGGGTGGGTTGAACTTAAAAATTAGATTCTTGGGAGTTTCAAACCACCACAACAGTGTAATTGCAAAATTAAGTTAGAGCATTCAGGGAACTCTCACAATAAAAAGGAAATACTCTATCATGATATATTACACTATTAGAAGCTTACAGGTCTGTCTCAGCATCTATGGAAAGATGCTCCAAGCAGACAGCAAGTTTTTCTCTGTTCCATATTTCTAGCATCACTTAAATAATTCAAATGGAAATGTTGATATAGATGAAAAAAATAATTAACTTCCTTTAGAAGTTTTTTTAAGAAATATTTACAAAACCCCTCAACTTTGGAACATTCCATATAAAAAAATGTTGGTATCTATGAAATTGATTATAGCACTTTTCTCAGTTTTGGATTATCCAAGAAGTACAGTCTTCCTACATTTTCAGTTCTCCTTTGAAACATCATCTTCACACACATGGGAACATCACATCCACTTCAGACTGATACAGGTGCAAATAAGAAGCTTGGAAGGCTACACCCCATTCTTTTTCAGGAGTAGAATTTTTCATGAAGTTTAATATTCTTATTTTATATCATTTAGGATACAAAATCATATAATAAACTTTAGTTGTTCAACAAAATGGAAAATGGGACTTGCCTTACCCACAAGGAAAGGCGAGTCTCCAGCAGCCTTGAAAGATGAGCGTGACATCACCAGCAGAGAGTATGCTGGGGTGTCACATCCACATGGAGTTAAAAAATCTGCTGCACCTCAGTACTTGGAAAAAAATCTCAACAAAATTTAGAGCACACTACCAATATCTGAGATTATCTTAGTCTCTTCACTTACAACATCTGGAATGTTATCTAATTTTGAACATGTTTTAAACTTGTTTTCTAGGTCTTTTTCTTTAGTGCATGTGAGACATTGGATTATTATATTGGGTTAGAATAATTCATGTCGGGGTGGGGGACGAGGGACAAGTCAAATCTCATGGAGGTGAGGTCATGCCCTGTCCCACATGCCAGCCCCTCGAGACTCACCGGGCAACTCCAGAGCAGTGGTCAGTCAAAGGCAGCCTGGGAGCACGGCCTATACCACACCCTGGAGCCCCTATCCCAGCCTCAGACTAGATGACACAGTGGGAGCAATGCCTCTTACCCCGCCCCAGAGCCCCAGTGGGCCAGAAATCCCACCTAGGAGGGGCGACCACAGGGGGCCAGAGCAGATAAAACCAAAGACGTGCTCTCCACATGTTCAAATCCACCATTTTTAGCCTCCCGTAGCTGGACCTACGCTGGATCTAGGAATGGGCTATATTTCTCCTTTCATCTCTCTTTTCCTTGTCTTCTAATTTCCTTTCTTAATATTTGGGATAGCTGGATACTGGATGGGTTGGCTTTCACTATGTTGTATGTGTTAGCATGTGCTAAGTCAATGCTTCATGGAATGCTTGCTTTGGTTGTATGCTACCCTTTAAACTTTTGCCGAGTACTCTACTTTTTTCTTAAGTCTACCAGTAAAAGTATCCCCTGAGAAAATGTGTGCAGCTTTTCTCTTTTGTGCTCTCTCTTAAGGTGTGGAAAGAACTGAGGGCTCTTTTAATAATCCAGAGATATTGTTGGAGCCTTGTTTATTTTTAAAGTAAAACTCCCTTGGTGAGCTCGTAGCTCTGATGCTGGGGTCTTACAGTGTACTTATATTTGTTACAGTTCCATACAAATAAAAAGTCCATTTCAGATTGTAGGTAGAAGTTTTTATGCTTCTTTATAAGGAAGACCTTGTAACATTTTCTTCAAAGGAAAGAGTACTAGCTTTGCTGTTCTGGCACTTTCAAGCACTGAGCAACTTTCAAGCAAACCTCTTAAATATTCTGAAAATTACAGGTAATAAACATAAATGAGCACCAGAGAAAGAGACTTTACAACTTTAGTTTCAAAATGGAAGAAATTCCATTATTTTTTACTCTATTCCAATCTTAAGTCCATTTTCTCTGTTTGTGTGTTCAACTGCCTTTTACTGATGACAAGATATGAAAATATGATATCTGTTTATATATAGTTCAAGTCAAACAAATCAAACTTAATTCTCCCTTAACCCACATAACTTTTTCAAAGCAACACAAAAATATTGCTTCAAACCCAATGTATATTTTTCTCCTTGCAAAATGGTCATATGTTTTTCTCACTTTTTTCTGGCAATATCAGCATTTTTAAATAGGGTATTAGGATAGATATATACTACGCATAAATTTACTTTGGAGAAAGTAAAAGAAAATTTGAATACCTTGTTTCCTCTCAGTACTCCTTATCACTTCTAAAGAAACCTAACTTCTTTTGTCCTCCTTTCCTAGATTTCTGAGAAAACTAACATTGTGTTTTTAACACACAGAAATCATATACGTTTCAGAAAAATGTTTTATTACTTACCATAAATCAGTCTGCTTACTTGATAACATACATGTAGTTGAACTCTCTTCACTGTCAACAACTGAGTCAGCAGAAATGTGTAGTAACCAGATACCAAAACAAATGCACTGCAATACTAGCTATTTATTCGCTTTGTAGAGAAAGCGGACTCTTACCCAGTTTTCTTTTTTCAGAGGCAAAAAGTAGTAGTAATGGCAGAAATCAAGTATCAGCGTATAGGAACTAAGGATCTGAGTGTAGAAACACAGCTGTAAAAACAGCCAATGATTGTCTTCACCAACACAGTTATTAATCCTGCAGAGAAAGAAAGTGTGTATATATAAAGAAGAAATACAAATACTTTCACACTGAAGTTATGATACTGTGAATAAGAGACTTTATGATTACTTTTGGAGCAAATGTTATGAACTGCTGGATCCATTGCACTGCCACTTAAAGTGTAAGTTGCACTCCTGAGATCAATGCTTAGAACTGGAGACACATTTATCTTTACCTTCATATAGCAGAGATACTCCTGCAATTTTAAGGACTACTGAACTCATAGAACTGGTTTTTTAAAGTCTACAAAATTTCACAGTAATACATATTATCTTCTGCTACTCAGCACATTTCACTGGTTGTGAACTATGTAGAGTCCCAAATCTGGAAATGCAAACAAGTGTTTTGAAATAAATGCGAACACAGGTTACCCTGATGAGAAATAAATATGACCTAGGAATGAGCCAAAGGAACAGAAGACAAAACAGGCATCCCTATTCAAAAACTCCTTTTGCATACTCCAACATGAAGAAGTAAAGGAATCACAAGAATTCTAGCTATATTAAGTATAAGATTAAAAACCTTTGACACCTAGATATAGTCTGCATCACAGAAGTTACATGGATGCAATTTTATACAAGAATTAGCATGGATATCATTACCAAGCTAAGACAGAATGACAGAAGCACTATACTGGCACTATTTTCTGAAGTAGTGATTGACAAGAAAGATAGTTTGAAACATGGTTAAACTAACACAGGGGGATCCTGATGTCAATGCTGCCCTCTGCAGTTTGTCATTGCTGCCTTCAAAATTAATCACTAAAACAACAGTAGATTATTAGAACAAATAATCTACTTAATAATTTTACCATGGACAGTGGTGATCCATCCTCCTCACACAATGTCCACAACGACTGCAATGGTGTGAACGCTTTGGTCTCATCATGTTGCATTTGTTACATAACTCCCAATATTCTCGTTCTAGGTGAAAATGTAAGACATATTAGGGAGGTTTAGACTCAGTACTGTGTGCTCATAATAAGTCGGTATGCTTGTGATTCTCATTTAAAAAAAATTCTTACTATTATCTGAGAAGGATAAGCACCACACAAAAAACTTTTTCCCACTGTGACCTTAATTAAACTGGAAGATATTACTGCTACTCTGTGTCAGTCTCCCTCTCCAAAGTCCTCTCTTTTCCTGTATATTTCTACGGAGCAATTATTACAGCACAAAAGCTGTGACTCACACAAGGAGGACTGGAACACAATTATTTTCTTACACTTCTACTGTAAAAAAACCCTATCTGTTAGACAGAATCATGATACAATCGCCCTTCAAAACCTCCTGAGGAAATACTGCTACTGCCTGCTAGCTAAAATACAGTACACAACAAATGCTTCAGGAGCATCTTCAATCCCAAAGCATTTTAATACATGCCTCTCACCACATGCAGTTTTACACATAAGGCAATCAAAAAACAGGTAGAGGATAGGCTTGTATTTACAAATATACACTATTATTAAAGACCTAATGTGAGATTCTTTTTAAAAGCTTATCTCTGGAGATACTGAGTAGCTGAAAGTACTAGGAGCTACTATTGCTCAGCTTATATTTATCTCAAATTGCACCATCCAAATTAGAGGAATTCTTTGAAAATTAAAATTCAAATCGTATGTTCAGAAATTTCATCTTCACATGGGAAACAAGTCACATCATCGCTGTAATAATTCCAGTCACAAAAACATATATTTTCTGTCTTTAAGGAAAATAGGTGGATGACTGAGAAATTTAAATACTTTGATTGGTTATTTCTGCCTAAATAAACTTTTTTTTGATGCACAGAAATTCCTTAAACCCAGTGATAAAAGAAAAAAAAGAAAAAAAGCTCATTTTTACTGTGGAGCATTCTGAAATTCTATACTATAAAACACTATTCCTATGTAAACAAAATAAAGTTAAATATAGCACTTCTGTGCCACCTGCAAGCAGCACTAATCTGGTCTTTCTTGCTGCAAAATAACATTTGAATACTGGAAGTAAAGAAGCCCAATATCTGAGATCATTAAACTAGTAATAATGACAGATGGAAACTGATTTGCAATCTGTTCCCATAAATATAGTGTCACAAAGGTGTCACTCACTAATAGGGTAGCTACCAGCAGAGTTCAGAAACACCCCAACTCATTTTTTAATACAATTCATACTGTGCAAAAATGTATCCTCCTGTCAACAGAGAATACCAGAGAACCAAAGTGCTACTTTCAAAAGTACAAAATCCCTGGTATAACACCCACCAAATCAAAATATCAAAGTCACAGTCTAGCCTCAATGTTCCATCTTCAGAAGTATCTATAAAGTAGCACTGCTGCATGGAATGAATGGAGCATGCAAAGGTTGGAGAGCTATTCAAACGGATACCTTATATTAGAAAAAAACATTTTTGCACAATATACAATATATTTGAAAGAACGCAGAAAAAATTCTTCCTGTGGAAAAATTTCCTAGCAGAAAGTCCTACATAACTGAACTTCTGGTGGAATACAAGTTTTGAAAAAAAAGCTTTGAGTCTACATCAGGGAAAGTGCTAGAAATTTACAAGTTTAAAATAGTGACATACTAACTTTAATCAGTAGAGACAGCTCATGGTTCCCATCAAATCTCACAAAGTCAAATTGATTCCTAATTATTTTGAGGAGATTAAAATAACTTTTATTCAATTATATAGAAATAACTTAATGTACCTGTAATTGGTATCTTTGGATTTTCAGGTAGCTTTCCGGGATCTGCTACTGAAGCTCTAAGTAATGAACCTATACAAAACAATGAGCAGAAGTAATAACCTAAAAAAAATAAATAAGCATTTGTTAGTCTTTTTCAGGTGTACAAAGTATCTACTATACACTACATCAAAAATACAGATGCTCCAGCACTGAGTTGGAAATTACTCAGCCTTCTCATTCAATTCCAGACATATTTTTGGTACTATACAGTCTACAACATTAAGTACTCCCCAGTCTTAAAAAGGGAGAGGAAAAGGTAGCAGTGAACAGATTTGATGGCACCAGCAGGATGCCACTATGACCATACTACTGTTTTTAAAAAGTTCCTCCACTGTCTATCAAATAAGCACCAATCACTCTACACTGCAAAGCCTCCACGTGGAAGGATATTCCCAATAGTGCATCTTCACTTTAAAGTTAGTTCCAGACATAATACAAGCCTTTTCCCCAGCAAGACCTAATAGCATAACTCATATGAGCTGACCCATCCAGGGATGTATGACAACACTAACGAAACTCAGTTTTTACCAGTCCTCATCAGCACTACCACCCGAAATTCTTACAAGCACTAAGAGACGTGGACCTGAAATCCTGTCAACAAGTTCTAGGTACAGGATGTGAAAGCTGTATATTATTAATGCTTTTCACCACACAAGGATGTTCTACTATAACACCTCTGAAATGAAATGTCTCAGCTTCTCAGAACACAAAAAAGAATCCCTTCCAGCCATCCCAGTACTCTTATCCTTTATCTTACTGTCTTTATCTTTCACTTTATTTTTTATTTTCTGACATTTCTCATATATGTTAAATAGTGCCCAGAGATACTATTTTTACTAGTAGAAAAAACAGCTAAGTTAAAATTACTTACACAAAACTGCCACAACTGAAATATTTCCCTCTTCATAGTGAGGAAAAAGGATGACCTTTGGAATGAAGACTGTATTGTACAGCCAGGCAAGGATAATTAGGCCCATGCAGCACCAACCCTGAGGGTCAACCACAAAGTGAATTCGTTGCCCCATTGAACACAAACAGGTGTCACGACCCAGGAAGAAAAGATACTCCTAAAGAAATAAAGAAAAAATTTTTATTTTTTTTTTAAGGAGTAAATTAAGTAGTATAATGCAACCTACAGGATTCCATATACATTCAAATAAGGAAGAATAAAACATGTCAGGTATTGATTTAAGGAATTAAAGAAAAACTTACAGACATATAACAAACACGTTTCAAGTACCAGGTAGCAAAACATTTTATGATTTCATTAACTAGTTATATCTCATTAAAAAGTAACATTTATTATCAAGATGCAAGTAAAACAACTAACTGGAAAAACTACTAAGTAATAGGTAAAGCAAGCAACTGTCAGCCAGGTGGCAGCAGCATAGGATATAAATATTAAAGAAAAGTCTTCCATCAAAATTAAATGGTTGCAAAGCAAACAAGAAATACAGGCAATGGTTTATGTCATACAAAGATTCATCCCACCTACTTATTATAGCCTCACCCCTAAATTTCAGGCTTGTTTTTTAAAAACTTTTATGGTAAAACAGTCAAAAACTTCACTAGGAATTTGTTTTTTCCTTGCTTAAAAAAATCTCTCTGACATTTATAGCAAACCCACAGAGAAAGGAATCACTACCCTAACGTCTTTCACAGAGAGCCTTCAAAGGAAGGATTACCAGTGTTACTTTTTTGTCAGGCTACCTTCATAGTCCTATCTTAATATTGCAACAGACACATAAATCCTAATCTACTCTCCTAGCCATTAGTTACCCTGATTTCTGGGCTTCAGGAACTTGTCCATTTCAGATGGATTTCTTTTCATTCCTTTCAGCTTCTGCTTGTTGCACTGAAATTTTATCAGTCAGTTATCTCTGTTTCCAGGGGTTTTGCTTACTTGTTTCATGCTTGACTGCCCTCAATTCTATTCACAATTTCCCTGTTTAATATTATTCATAAGTTTCATTAATGTCTTTTCTTCTTTTTCTAGATCTCTGATCAAAATCAGACCCAAACAAGCTGTCATTTTCCCACACTTCTCCTTTGTACTATATATTATAACCCTTTGTTTGTATCCTCTAGTGCAACAGTGTTCCCATTCAGGTATAGCAGAGCAATGTGTTTCTCTTTACCCTAAAAATCCACCAAATTTCCTAAAACTTGCTTTTAAAACCATGTTGTATACTAAATACAGTTATTGTAGTATTAAAATTGTTTCTAAGCTCATGACAATCATAAAACCTATTTAGGCCTATATTTACTGTTCTCTGTTAATATGTAGCATGCACGCACCACAGGCTGTTACAAGATATTAATACACTACACACATATGTACAGTCTCTAGACATAAAATGATGGAGTACTATATTCCTGAATCTGCCAGTTCTTAAAGTGTCTCTGTTGTAAGCTGGTTTTGGTAACCAACAGGTTTAGAACAAAAAACCATTTTATATTCTTCTAAGCATGTACTGATGGAGGATCTGTCTCCACAAGCAGATAAGCTGTGGGAGAAGGTGAGCAGACTGTACAACATCAGGGATGCTGAAAAGGAGATGGACCACATCCCCTCCAAGTTCCTGCAGCTACAGGAACCCCCACTGCACCAAGGAGAAGCACACAGAGTCTCTGCTTGTCAGGCTGAACATGGAGACACAGAGCGCAGTGAAGTCTGGGAGCCTGTGAGCTTGAGTGCCAGCAGGAGGGTTCCTGCTCCACCTGATCCACAGAGCAGGTTCTGAGCCCTGGCAGCAGACATAGACAGGAAGCTCTGTCCAAGGAAGCCTCTGAGCCTCTGTGTCTGAGTCCTGTGGCAGTATGGGAAGAATGGGGTAAGGAAAAGTGGTGGGAAACTCCTGCTTCAGGGACAAAGACACCTCTGCCAGCCCAACCTGTCACCTGGCAAGGTCTTCTGCTTGCCAGGGGCCTGGGGCCTGGATACCATGGAGAGGCTATTACGGAGGCTGGTAGTAGTCTGGCCCTCAGGCTGTTACCCCCAGCTGCTCTTCATAGGGGCACCATGGATATAGCTACGGCAGACCAGAAGTATACTAGGCATGGAGTAAAAGGCTCACAGGGTGTTGGCCAATGCCTGGTAGCCAAGTGGTGTCTCGTTCATCCTGCTGGTGAAGGGGGAGAACTTGAGGACAAGCACACAGATCCTGCAGATGAATGAGTGGTTGTGCAGAGTGTGCAAAAGCTAGTCAGCTTTTATATCCATAGGATCTTCTATGAGGACCAAGAACTGAGGGGGAAGAGGTGCAGGATCCACCTGAAATTATGTGGAGTAAAAGCATCTTTGCCAAGAAGCTGGTCAATCTGCTAAAGGAAGGCTTAAACTAGGAATGATGAGAGAGAAAGGTGGTGACCTCTGAATGAGCAAGGAAGTGGTGGTCAGGGTTTGCAAGCAAAGGATGAAGGATATTGTGTACAACAGAGATCTTACAATCAACCAAACAGAGGTGAAGTGGAGCTACATCAAGTGTGTGTACACACCTGATACAGGACCACCACTTGGGTGCACTGGGATGGGATTAGGAAAGCCAAAGTCCACCTGGAGTTGAATCTGGTGAGGGACAGGAAGGTCACAGAGAAAGTCATGTACAGGTACATGAGCAGCATCAGGCAGGCTAGGGGAAACACAGGCCTGCTGAAAGTGGCAAACTAATACAAAAAGATCAAAGTGCCTTCTTCGCACCTTGCTCTTAACGGGTAAGACCTGCTTTCCGGAATCCCAGGTGCCTCAGACCAGTGGGAAAGACTTATTCTTGGGTAAGGGAGGATCAGATAAAGAAATCCTTAGGAAAATGGACTGAACACTTTCATGGGACCTGATGAGATGCCATCCTGAGTGCTGAGAGAGCTGGCCCTGTCATTGTGAGGTCACTCTCAATTATGTTTGAAAGTTTTAAGCTGACAGGTGAGGTTCCAGAGGACTGAAGAACAAGTGTCAACCCTGTTTTCAAGGACAAGAAGGAGGATCCAGGCAACTATAGGCCTGTTAGTCTCACCCTGTTCCCTGGGAACTGAAGGAAACGATCCTGGAAACTACTTTCAAATACATGAAGGACAAGAAGGTGATTGGGAGTAGTCACTGTGGATTTACAAAGGGAAAATCATGCAGATTGACAGAAACACTAGAAACACTGTTGACCACTAGAGGAACCCATCTGTTTTCCATCTTACGAGAGCAGCAGAGATTCCATGACTTCACAGCGCTTCCTCAGAATGGGAAATAACAGCTCAACAAACAAAACAGAGAGATATAATTACAGAAATACTTGCTTCCAAGTGACCTACTAAGTATAATGTGTGAGCAATAGCAGTGAGAGAAATTCCGAAGAAAACAGTAAGAGTGCCTGTAATAGAAATATACCCAAACTTTTTATCACTCAGTGACTAACTTTTGCCTGCATGACATTATTCTTTTATAATTAAAAAAACCTCAACAAACACCACCCACCCTCAAACCCATACTTTCGATGTGAAGTTCACAATTAAGTTGGAATTATGCAAATAAAGGCCCCACTCTCAAGAAAGAGCAATTTTTCATCATCACCTTCTGTATCTTTTCTGAAAGAGAAAGAAAACAGCGTGATACTCAAACAACCATCAACACTTGTTTGATAAGCAGCATATAATAGGCTACCTTTTATTCTGTTTTGCACACTTCACCTGACTGAGTAGAGCTTCCTCTGAAATGACATACTGCTTCTAACTAGTGTGCCTCAAATCTAGGTTCTAGGCCATTTCACAATTTTAATATAGATTTAAAAGGATATGTGTGTTCAGACAAAGGTCTATATAAAACTGCACTACTGTCAATGTATTTCAGTTACGTACAGTAACATACATTTACTTCCCATGTGCCTATTTTAATGTTAAATTAAGTTTTATGTTTGCCATTATACTTTTGTCAGCAATATTGAATAAACAATGTTAATATATTGACTTAGTCCAGCAAAGTGAACTTCTTCTCTTCTCTCTCGGTTTACATACCATGTATAAATATATAAGGTGGGGGGAATGAAAAAAACCTAATGAGCACAATCTGATGGCTAGGTAGGAAGTACTAGATTAAAATTTAACTCACAGACAAAGTGAATGTATACCCTTTTCTTTTTTAAACATATTTCAAATGAACTATATTTATTTTTTCAAATATAATGTCAAGAGTAACGATTACTGATCTCAACTAATTTTGATCTTCAGGATGCATAATTTCTGATCAGAAAAACTTACAATATGTAGCGGAAAAAGTCTATGAGTAGGTTTAGAACAAATCAATTGAAAGAAACAATTAAGTGAATTATATCCGTATACAGTCGGTATTCATACAAGCAATGCCTAAAGTTTTTCCAATTAAATAATTTATGAGAAAATACACAACACCAATGTTAGAGGTTTTGTGGTTTTCTTGCCTCATACCCTAATTTATAGCCATTTTTTCTAAATATCTCAAACAAACATCTCAAACACAAAGCATTAGAAGGCAAACAGAAGTTGTACCTCTGGAAAGTTTCAGATTTACCAAACCATGACTGAATCTTTCCTGCATGATCAAGAATTGTTCTTGCCTTTCCAAAAAAATACTTTTATTACAGGATGCCTGGACAACATTTTTTCCTAACCCTTTTCTTTCCACCCAATTCAATTAACTGTACCATAAACTCCATTTTTGTTCACTACAATCACCTGCCATGCGACTGCTCATGTGACATCCACTGAACAATGAGACGGCAGAATGCAGGCAGAAACTCAATTCCAAGAAATAAGAAAGCTTTGCTCTAACCAGAAATGTTATCATGATATATAAATAGCTTTAACAGATTCATTTAAATGCAAACTTAAAAAAAAGGTATACAATTTTGCATCAAGATGCAAAACACACTTAGAAAACTGTGTTTCATAAATAAACCTAACAGGAGCAGTACTCAATTTCTCACACTAAGAAGCATGACAGCCAGCTCCTTGCACATTCATGGGTGTTGCACTGATCCATAACTAGAAACCATGTCTCACTTTAGCTTTCTCAGTAAGAAAAGTAAGACTTCTGAAATCTGACTTGCAGAACTTTTTTCACAAATCCTTAAATAAGTCCAGAATGACACAATCAGTAATTTATTGTATGCTCACCATGAAACAGTTTTAATACCCCATGCAAACTGAACAATACTATGCCCTATAAAACACACTTCTACAGTGGAAAAAAACACCACTTTCTAAAAAGGCTGTACCCTAAGCAAGTCAGACAGAAAAAGGAACAGACAATAGAAACACAAGAGACACACCTGTCATAATACTTGTGTTAGCCAAGGCAAGGCCGTATCAATCAAGAGCCTCCCCTAATTTGTGGATCCAGCTGCAGTTTTAGACATCTTTCCCGAAATCTTAAGAATTACTGCCAAAAATTACTGATATAAAACTAAAAATACACTTCAGCAGGGGAAAAAAACCAAAGTGGACTTGAACTAATCAACAAAATTACTTTCAACTAGATTTTAAAGAAGTCATGTTATTATCAAGCGTCAGAATGGAATTACTATTATGTCTTTTGCAGCTCTTGCATTTAAAAAAACTGGTATCTGCATAACCAGCTAACACAAGCCAGAGAATATTTTTGGCCTGACAAAACCCCACGCACCTGGCCTTGCCCATGTTTATGCAATGGATGGTTATCAGTACAGATCTCAGCACTACACAGTTAGGTGGCTGTTGACAGGTTGGTTAAGGTAGGCAAGATATTCCCAACCAATTATTTTTCATTGATAGGATCTACCAAAGTGTACCTATAAACATCCACTGCATTCACAAAGGATGTTACACGGGCTTGGACACCCACGTGGCTTGCTATTCACGTATACCCACTGTATTCTCATGATCACACGTCCCATGAAAACTATGCCTACCGCTGACCAAACAGCCACTTCTAGACATGTAATGAGTGTTACTTGAGCACATCACTGTTTGGATCACCAGTGTGACGGGAACGAAGACCCGACTAACTACTGGAGCTGGGAAATGAAAGTGTGAAACCAAGGCAGGCGGGGGCCGCTGCCCTTCCTTGTGCCGTGCTGCTGGAGCACACGCCAGCCGCTCCACGCGCCTCGCCCGTGGCACCTCGGAGGCAGCAAATGCTCTCCTCGCCACTCGCAGTACAGCCAGCACTCCGGAGCTGCCTGAAAGCGGCAGCAGCACTTCCCTATTTCATACCTGGGGAGAGACTCAAGCCTGCCATGGGTTTCTCTCCCCAGCTCTCTGCACACCCAGCAGCACCCCTGAAACTGAGGTCCAAAGGATGGCGACACGGGACGCTCCAAGGTGCCCAGGAAGCAACCAGCACCAGGCGCCCGCGCCCCGAGGGGCAGCCGCCGCTCTCCATCCCGCTCGGACCTCACCCTCCCGCCCCCCCGGCCCGGGGCTGCCCCTCCCGGCCGGGCCGGGGCCGACGCCTGCCGCCCCCCGCCGCCCCCCGCCCGCCCCGCTGCGGGGCACGAGGCGGAACCAACCGTAGGCTTCCGCCGCTCCAGCCGCGCGTGCGCGCCCGGACACACCCGGCGGGGCGGGACCCGGCACGGGCTGGGCGGTGGAACCTTCGGCCGCCTCTCACGGCTGCGGAGCAGCGGGGTTCTGCCGGGTCCCGCCACGCACTGCGAGAGGCACCAAGGGTGTGGTGCCGTACCTCGCCCCGTGCGCGGGCGGGACGGTGTCCCCTGCCCGCTGGAAAACCCCTGTGCCCGGTCCGCCTGGGGCCGACCAGCCGCCTTTCCCCAGGGTTGGAGCTCGCTGTTACAGGCCCCTTCCCGAGCACAGACTTTAGTCAAAATGAGCCCTTCTCTCTCCTCCACCTCTGCAGTGTCTCTTTGCAGTCCCTGACAAAACACCAGCACTGCAGACAAGGCCTGTACCTTGGGCTCCAGGCTGCTGTCAGGAGAATCTCATTCCCTGAGAGCTGCACTAGCGAGGCTTCGTAGTATGAAGCTGTATGAACTTAATTGTATAAATTAATACTAACTTTCTTAAGAGATACTACCTTGTGTACTGCATAATCATGGTTAAGACTGTAACTGGAGAGCCCCAGCTCACCGCAAGGAGAACAGCCCCCACCTTGAAGATAAGGACCTTTTGTTTCTCAGAATTTTAAAGACATCCATGAAAAAGAAAGGTGTCCCTGGACTACTAAGATAACAGGGTCCTCTGAAAAAATCCCTCCTATTATCTATGACATCATAGGTAACTGTAGCAAGACCAACTCCAGGGACACCTAAATTAAGAAATAATCAGATGGACAATGGCACCACAGATTCATAGTTGTTTTTCAACATAGTAGCATTAGTGTGTTATGTAATGAGTGGTCAAATCATGTAGTTTCTGAGTGCATGAAAGGTATAAGGACCATTTCAGGTCCTTATAAACACATTCAGTGTGCCCTGATTGGAATAGGACACTTCATGCCTATGAATTATATATATTAATATATATATTGATTCATATATTTTGCTTCTTAGTCTTTCTTCTCCATCAGCACAAACCAGTTTAACATTTTCATGACATTTAAGTCCCCTGCTGCGCCATGCCCCTTGCTCACACAAGATCCTTACATGGCCATAGAAGGCAATCTTTGGTTTAAAACGATAATTGAGACCCATGAGGGATTAGCCGTGGCTGAGAGCAACAGACAGCTTGTGATGGACAGAATTTTCAGCGTTCCCAGCTGGGAATCATGCCTTGAGCACCCATTGCTGATGCACATATATGATCTTTTGGCTACCTAAAGGTATCCCCATCTGCCTGAGTGGCATAGTTCCCGCTGTAAATTGATGGGCTCTTGCCCTGGAGCATTCTTCCTTCACGATGGTAGATGAAATGATGCAGAGTAATATGGTGAACACCACCATTGCAGAAAATTCTTCTTTTTTTACTGATTATATTCTTTCTAAAACTTAACCACAATATGATTATTCTGAAAAGGCAGAACCCAAAAAGTCAGGTAGGCGTTTAGGTAGTTTTCAAGCTTTTGCCAAGACTTTTGGACCTTGTCCTGGTTTCAGTGTCCACAGTCTTTTGTTATACAGTGCAATTTTTAACACTTCAACCTAAGATTGCTCTGACCTGAAAATAGATATTTGTAGCAGAAACTGGACATTGTCTGGAAGGCGAAGGAAGTGTGTTTCGTCTAAACCAAAGGAGAGCACTTTCTCCATAACAACCTATATATATATATATATATATGTCCCTAGGAGGAGGTAACACTGATAATAATAGACGTATTAATTGGACTATTAAAAAACAAGGCAAAAAGAATAACTGGAAAAGTTGTTGTAATGAAAAACAGGCTCTGGCTCTGTTCCCTGACAAATTCATGTATCAATTTACGTCTATATGTAAAAAGCATAATAAGCTATGAAAACTTTTCTCTTATTTGAAGAATAAATTGTGACGGCAAAAAACAAAACAAAACAAAACAATCAAGCAGTTTAAAGGAGACAATGGACTTGGGAAATAAAATGGAAATATAAGCAAAGAAGAATAGTACAATCAGTGAAGGTTTCATGTAGAATAAAAAGAAACAGTCAATAATGTCAACTTTTATTTGAATACCAGATGTTTGCATTTTTGTAGTGGTTTGCTGATAATGGCCAGTCATTAGACCTGTAGTCCTATCAGACTGATTGTATTTTTCTCTTTTCTACTCATGGTTGTGCAGAGGAAACACAGGTTCTGGAACAAGGGCAGTGGTCTATTCTGGCTCAGTCATCAGCACACCAGTCCCCATTTATTAATGCTTCTTTTGAGGAAGCACAATGCAGGAAGAAAAGCAAGCAGTTGTGTCCTGAACTTCCCAATGGAAAAATATCAGACTATAAATATACCTGATACTTTTGCCAGAATATCAAATCCAGACAGATAGATAATGAGTCTTTGTGGTGAATTCCTATCTGAGTGGGGAAATACTAACTTTGCATAATATGAACTTTGCATAAAATCCAATATAGCTGTATTACCCAATATTATTAAAAGTCTGAAAAATTATTCACATTCTTTAGTCCTGAATATTGCACAATAGTATAGAATTCCTCTTGGAGTTTCTGATGTCTGTGTTGTGTTGTTGCTGCTGTTTATAAATTACCACAGGAGCCACCAGCTGTCATCATACAATTTTTATTGGCACTCTGTAAATATTAAATCAGCATGCTAAAATCAAGCCATGTGCAGTAACAGCTGATGCTCTGTTATAGAGAACACATGCAGGAGAGAGGTGTGCACTGTGACTCCCGTGATTCTTACGGCTTACAAGCCCCTTGCTTCTTGATACTGTTTGTCAGGATTCATTTTGAGCCCAGTTGGGCCCCTTGTTGCATATGCATTGTCTGTACACAAATATCTCCTGAGCTGAGAGATCAGTCTTCTCAGCAGTACGCAGCTGCTTGGGTCCTTCTAAATTGTGCAGTTTGTTACTACCACTTCTTTTCTGCAGCACTGTGGTGTTGGTCACTTCCTTGCAAACCTTGATAAAATACATAGGAGACACTTGTTAACTCTTGAATGGGAGCCAAATCTTTCATGTCCTGAAGGCAGAACTCTGTGTCAATGACAAAGGATGCTGAAACAAAACCTGTCCTGGCCCAGAAGTTTTGTTAGTTGCGGCGTGACATATTGCGAATGAGGCGGTAGATGTTAAACGAAAATGAGTCTCAGGCTCCATTTTGTCTCTAGCTTATTGTCCAGAAAAATCAAAGGCAAGGTATGTTTTCCAATCTGTCTGCCTCAGTAGTAGACATGGGGAGATCTACTGATCCCGCAGCCCAGATAGATTATATGGGACAAGGTAGACCAGGCAGTAGGCTAACTTAGGCAGTTAACAGTGGTTTGAGGAGCTCTGTTCAGATGAAGATGTTCTAATATTAGCTCTTCTAATGCCTCGCTATCTCCAGGAGTTGCTGTCTGAAGGGCAGGGCAACAAACTGCTTGAATGCTTCCTTATCTATTGTAGTGCGACTTTGAACAAGCTTCAGCAGATATCCCTTGTTCAGAAGGAAGCTTAGGTACATGTCTGCTCTGTTTGAACCCCCTGACTGCTGGCTGCAGCCACCAGCAGAACATCAGACTGAATGACTGGTAATAGCAATACGTTAGACCAGGAAAATGAAAATGCATCAGAACGGCCCTGACTTTATTATTGTTATTCGTTTTTTTGATAATAATTTTAGCTCCTACATTTTTTTGCTTTTCAACTTGAAGTGCATTTTGGTGGTTCCATGGAGGCCAAGGTGCTGTAAATGGATGATTTTGTTCTCAGTGTGGACAATTAGCATTTTATCAATATTCTTTCAACAGGGCCAAGTACAGACTCTTTTAATCTGCATTCTTTCTCACGTGAGCTGAGGAAGTGTGCACGGCTATCAGGGAATGATTTCAGGGGAGCTGAAGTTGGTGGCTACATGCTAGATATTCAAGGAGTTAGGTTTAGCACAACATCAAATAATATTTAGAGTTCACTATCAGTGTTTCCTGTTTCTACTGGCAAACTGTCTAATGGAGGATCCGACCTAACCCCAGCTCCACACCTCTTCAAATGCACCATCCTGCACAGCACGCACTCCCTGGTGCATCCCAGACGTGATGTGATTATGCAGCTGTGTAGGCTGGCAGAGAGCTTCCATCTAAGTAGGGAATCTTGTTGTTTTGCTATTGCAGCAAGGAGCTGGGACATTTAGGACAAAGCACTGCAAGAGATTTTACTACCTGTCAATAAAAGCTAGTCTGCTGAGAGCCATGACCTTAGCTGTGAATATTTCAGAGGCGGTGAACAAAGTACCAACCACAGCATGAAGTACCAAGGGCAGTTTCAGAGACTTTTCCCTGGAATATATGGTTGTGCAGAATTCAGTAGGAGTTTGAAGTAACTCTGGTGTTTGATGTATTTGTAGGCATTAAAGCTGCTCGCATTAAATCCACATTTAAGAGAATAGCCTGTACTGAAGATTTATTTTGCTTAGGCAGTAGGAAAAAAACAGCTCTTCTTTTCAATTATTTTCTAGATAAAGCATGCCCCTTTGGAAAAGAGACAATAGGTCAAATAAAAGGTCAGAAGTGTAGAAAGTTTACTTGGAATTGATTTGAATTTTCAGAGAGCTCTGCAACTATGGCTTAGTCTTGTTCTCTAAGATAGGCTTGCACAAGTAGTGCTCTGAAAAAAATCACAAAAACAGCAGTTGCATTGTAAGCATAGTTACATTGGAAAAGTGGAAAAGCTTTCATTACAGAAAGCATGCAACCTCCAAGCAGACACAACTAAAGTAATGCAGGTTTGTTGCTATAATGGTGTTACTACTGGAAGCG